AGTTTCGGGAAATGCATGAATGTAATTGAAGACAAATTATAATAAATGTATGCTATCATCTTGGGGTATTGTGCATCACCAATCATAGTGGATAATATCATGATCAGCACTTCATTAACCTACCATGACAAGGACATATATTCCTAGATGTACTTATCCTTCATAGAGACATCCAGCTGTGTTTTTTCAGAGCACACATTTCTGCAACTCCACTTTTCTCACCACACTGAAACATGCAAATGAGGCAATCAAGGGGCTTTCAGAGTTTTGTAATTAGCTCTTGTCCATTGCAAGAATACACACTAAAAATGCCACAAGGGAAAATCATGTTTTTGAACCAGCTAACTGTATATTCCAGAATCTTAACATTTAACATCACTGTCATACCAGCATACCCTAATGAGTTATCTAAAATAAATGATAAATGCTGCAATCAACTAAACATGCAAGTACTCTTCATGTAAGTTTGCTAAAATAAATATGACAGTTATATAATGCAAAATCTGGTTTGTGTCAAGTGTGATCATCTGAAACTGTGTTGTGTTTAAGTCTTTATTTATGATTGTACCATCTGTCCTTGAACCTTTAATTGACATTTTTGAAACATTCATTTCTGAATTAATGTGAATACCATCTTGTGTCAAAACAAATTCAGATTTTGCTCTTTCCATAACTTAAAAATGACAGATACTGTATATTCTGAATTCACAGAAGGGATAGTTGCCACCACTGCCGATTTCAGTATTATATTAATATTAAATATTAATTAATGATGAATTATTAAAGTCGGGAATACAGTACAGTGAACTACGTGTAGCCAGTAGATGTGTTTGTGCCTTATTCCAATTGGAATAGAAGTTAGGAGCAGAAACGATTGATCATATTATTTAATGGGCTTTGTATTGAGTACAAATCCAAGATAATCATCAAAAAGAACACTTAAAGGCTTGTATTTCAATATATCACAAAACACCATACCGGCTTATAACAATAATTATTGTGATAATTACTGTGGGGCCGAGTCCTTAAGGAGTGGTGCCTTCCCCTGTGGACTTGCATTTTTTTCTGAAGCTTTCCTCTTCCCAAGATGGTGGTGCACAGATCATGGGTAGTTTGACAGGACACTCAGCAATCACTGGAGAAGGATCAGCTGTGCATCCTGCTTCAGACAGAAAGAATGGAGCACTGAGCAGAGAACAAGACAGTGTTCACATGGAGTCAAATCCTAGGAGGAGCCCTGTCAGATCAACCAGCACATATTGAATCCATCTCCAGCTGAAAGGACTGTGCTACTACTACGGTATCTTATTTTTCCTCATCTTTGGCTTAAAGGGCAGAACTACTGCTAACTATTATTCTTCCCCAGCTCCGTCTGGAGAGCCATTATGCTGCTATTTATTTCCCTCTCCAGCTCAGGCAACACATTAGAAATATCCTGCTGTGAAGAATATTATGTTATACCTAGTGACCTGGGGGTGCTTTAGCAAGCAGGAATTAAGGGTTGCTGTATAAGTATGTTGCCTTTCTGTTGTTGTTTCTCCCTTTTAATTAATATCCCTAAATAGGCTCCTCATCTGGTTGGTGATTGTAACCGTGTTGGCAACCACTCCAGTGGTTTATGGACTGGTTTGATGTGTAATTGCAACTGTGTAATTGACTGAGGCAGAAGATAAGAGTTCTCCCTGGGGACATTGTTTAGCCAGCTGGAGTCATTGTTGAGCCATCTATCTTTCAGGTCAAGACTGCAGGGGATCACCAGGGTCTGCCCAAGGGGTCGATCACAAGTGATCAAGTGTTTTTGAAACTGGAGATGGTTCTGACTCCTGTGTAGTGCGTATTTAGGACCCTATGCAGACGGTATAATCCAGAAGAGACTGGAGAAGGACAATAGGGAAAACACAGAGAAGAATGGATGGGAGGATAGACAGGGGGCGGTGCCGATGGTGATCCAGGTGCAAGAGGGAGCACAGGCAAACAAGTCCAGTGGGAGTCCAAAAAGGAAAAACAGGGCGTAGTCCAAAGTCCAGGTAGCCCAGAGATCAATCCAAGACGGACAGTTAAATCGAGAACCTGGTTGGAACTGGAACAGGAACAGGAACAAGGAAGTTAAAAACACGATGATAAGGCCAGGTGCTCCAAGCCCCGGACCCAGATGGTCAGGATGCCGTAATGAAGCCTATGCTGTCTGGTCTCTGCTGGTGCAGTAGGTGGGCATCCGGGTGTCTATCTTCCAATGCTGAGCGCAGAGCTTAGGAGGCACATAACTTATATACAGTATTAATGGGTTAAACAGGAGACAGCTGCACGTAATAATGAAACTAATAGTAAAAGGTTGGAGCGCCCTGTAGAGGAGGGATGACAGTTTGTGGTATGACTGCAGTATTTTTTTCTGACACCAGATACCAAAACGTTGATTGCTGATTAAGCCAGCTTGAGCTGCTTGAGAACAGTGTAGGTTTTAACAAATTGCAGATGCTGTTTTTATTATGTAAGTACCTACAATGCATAGGGAACAAACTGATTTGTAAACATTTGATTTCAATAAAAAAGATGTAATTATTCCATCTTGTGGTCATCCTGAGGGTTTTTTTTCCCCTTAGGAAAAAAAATATGTTTCTGGTAAACTCACGGCACTTTTAAGTGATACAATATAATAAATTGAGTTGAAATACATAACATTCTTTTCAAGGAAGGTCACCAATACCTTTGTTTTGTTGGAATTTAAATTTTACTTCTTCCAGATTGTAATATGCTACAGTACATTTTTGAACATGAAGTGACAACAGCAAAAATAAAATTAAAGTAAAAAGAAATAACAAGGATGAGAAGTTATATTTCTATTAAACAAGCATTGCAGAATGTGCTTGCAAATTTTAATTTAGAAATCCCAATTCTTGTGTTGCAGGGTCCTATGGTCTAACAGTTTACTAAACTTTCTAAGAAAGCAGTGAAGCACTTTTTTTATTTATTGGCACAGCACTTATGGTTCCAGCTACTTAACACTAATTAGCTACAGTGCCCCTTCTGGTATTCTTTTACTGCTTACTTGCTTTCGGACCAAAACTGCAATTCACTCCTGCCAAATAAACAAATGATCTTAGCATTTTTTTATTTAGAATGGGAACTTAAGATAACTTTACATAAGTGTTGGGCTTTAGATAAGGTGCTATATACAGTAAGTGATACTCTGCTACTGCAATGATGCGGGACTGATTCAAATAATTATGTGTCTATGGTATTTTGATGGATAAAGTAAAATACATTAACCTTATTCAGAAATGTATTCTAATGAGCAAATTCTTGTCACATTTCCTCGGGCAACAGAGAAGTGTCCTTAACAGAAGAATATTATGAAATTATATTGTAGATTCATGCTAAAAATGTTTTATATACTGTACACTTGAAAAATTGTACATTGACAGCTTCTCACTGAGTGCCTGAAAAACTATCATCAATCAATAATGTCATTTAAAAATATTGGTTATGTATTAACAATTTCATCCTCATCTTTACCTTAGTTGACCCACAGCTGTAAGAAGGTCTCTTCTAGATTCATCTGCATCTGCATCTGCAATACTGACTTCAGCTGTGCTAATCCACATTGCATCTGCACACTTTTTATGTTATACAGGGGAAAATGCTTGGTCAGTTTTGGACTCTTGCAATTCAGTATTTCTTTGGTCCAAATGCTGCCACATACACTTGTGTGGATTACTGTATATAATTTGATAGAAATGCACATTATTGCTTCAATTAACACAAAATAAGAGTTCATTACTCTGGAGTGTGGATAAGACCTGCTGGAAATGAGGGACAGATACAAAATAATAGAAAAAAAACAAAAGAACAGACCCCGGGACTTGTTAATTATTATACAGTAGTAGCCCTAAGATTGTACCAATTAGAATCAGCATGGTTTTTGCCAGACAATAAATGCTCAAACAGTGACTCTCATGACGACATTCCTTTTCATCTGAGTTTTAGTCACACAGGTGATTTTGTCTCTTCTTAATTTACTCAAACAAAAATGCAAAGCATCTTCATCATCATCATTCGAAATTATTTACAAGAGCTTTTTGTCATTGTTGAGTAAAAGATAAAAGAATTAGCTGATGAAGATTTTGATCAGAAATGTTGTTGACAAAATTAACCATGGACAGTTTACAAAATACACTGTGCAATAGATGGTAACTACTGAGTCTTATCTTTCAACTCAAAGACATCTCATAAATTTGTAAAAACAATCTGTGCCATAACTAAGAAAAGTGTTAAGAATTAATCGATTGTAGGATGCCCTTTTTTTGCAATCTGCTGTCGTTTCTTAGAATATACAGGAAATGAAAGTACGGTGATGTGGCTATACTGTATGTAATAGGACTGATAACAATAGGTAAAAATTCCTAAGTGTATCCTCACTATATTCACTCACTACCATTTTTATGATGATGTGTAGCACTGCATGTGGCAGATTTCAGCATTTTACCTTACTAAGTAATTTATGAACAATGTTCTGATGTTATCATCTTTTTTGCACATTAATAATGCATTTTAGTTTTACAATTTTCCACAGAAAAAAAGTTTTATTCAGCATAAAGTATGTGGGTACATTTCACTGTTATTTTAACTAAAATAACTGATAAGATTTTATTGTCTAAACTATTTTGTTCACATATTAACTTCATTGGCATCATCAAAGGAAACTTGGCTTTTTCTTTCAACAATAAATGCTCATTTATGCTAATTGCACTTATTATTAAACTGGCTTCAGATCACTTATATCCTTCACCTTGCTTCTTTTTTAACTCCCAACTTTTTTCTCAGGCCTTTACCCCTACTTTCCATCTGTCCTAAGCTCTCCTCTGTCCAATTCTTCTGCTGCTTGTGCTGTACTTCTCCATCCATATGCCTCCCTCCTACTCCCTTTAGCTCTCCCCCTGCTGTCAGGCCTGTCCCTGGAGTGACCTTGCCTTAATGAGCTCCTGATCACGAGTCAGGAAAAGAGCTTTCAGTCAGGGTGTCTTCACAACAAAACAGGCATTGCATTGTGAGTCTGGTTAAAGGGAGAAGAAGGAACTGGGGAAGAGAAGGAAAACCACTGCAAGTTCAAAGGCACTTCTACACCTTTCAACTCAAAGTAAGTGCTGAAGGTAGTGTGTTCTGTTCACAAACACGGAATTGCAGAAGCAGTTGGGGAGAGCTAGAAATGTACTTCAGCACTCTGATCAGCTCCTTCTGAGCTGGGAATAGAGTCTGGTGTGTGTTCACTCAGCTGTTGGGCTGTGTGAGTGAAGCATACTGTGATGACATATAAAAAACAAGAGGTGAAGAGGTTTTGCAGTGGTGAAATTATCAATTATATGATTATTTTCTTTACTAATATAAAAATGTAAAGATGTATGTATGCAAACTCAGAAACAAAAAAAATGACAATAAAGTTGAATTGTATTGATTATATTAACCACAACTGAGCAAGGGCTAGAGTATTTTAACAGCTGGCATTTTCATAATTTGTGATAATTGCGAGATCTCACTTTAAGGATCTGAATTAGCGGTTGGAGCTCTTTTTTGCCTTGAGTTTATGCAACAGGTGTCTTCACTTTGGCTTGATCATACATAGTACTTTTTTTAATCTTCTTTGAATATTTTATTAAGAAATGTTTGGAAAACTGTTCATTAAAGTAAAAATCCTTATGTATATGACATTTGTTATATCTTAATAGTAAATATATCTTAATAAATTTTAAAACTTTACTGTCATTATTGTGTAACCAAATCTAGTTAAATACAGTACCTCACATATGATTTTCATTCAGTACACAGTTAAAATTTTGTTTCCATTTATAACCCATTTGCAGGTGGATTTGGACAAGCTGGCAATAAACGTTGTACCAAGCACAACAACAAAAATTTTATAGGCAACAGTTACATTGTCCAGAATTGGATAATAAAACTGTGCATTTTACCAAATGGTCCAAATGTTTTCAGATATCTATTAAGAAATATTATTTTCTTTTTTGTGGTAGATGCATCATTTTTTTGTATGAAGTATTTGTGAAATCCTACACAGAAAACCTTCCTGAAATACATTGAAATCTGTTGAAAAATGAGTTCAGATAAGCCCAGTTAGAGAGTATTTCTTTTTTTACTTTATTATTGAAGGTTAATAAATACAATTGATATATTGATATTGAAACAATTCAATTGTTATGCATTTCTAAGTCAATTCCAATACAATGTTCTGTACACTTAATTGTACAGGATCTTTCTGCTCAGGAATGTCATCCCAAGTTAGAAATTGGCATGAATTGCAATGCAATTTTCTCATTAAATATTGCAGCTGATGCTGATTAACGAATGAATACAAATGGTATTTCAATGCATGGTATTCTGAGTCTGGCTGTTGCTCCTGAGGAAAGAAGTCATTTACAATTGAGTTACAATTTTCAAAGATTTTCAGAGCTTGTAGGAATTCAAGTCTGAGAACTACTGGTTCTTATAAGAAAAACTGAAATATTGGTTGCTTGTGGATTAACCTTATTCAATTGCTTTGGCATAGCTAGAGCCAGAAAATAGCAGAGCTGTGTATGTGTTTGGCTAGGGAGAGTGGGGGAGTTATCACACAAGAGAAGAAATTGGGTCAAACCTGACAGGAATAGGAAACTAAGAAACCTCCAACAACACTCATATTGATTAGGTTAGATATGACTCATTAAACAAGTAGCCCATGTGGTTAGGTTCCAAAATAAAATAGGAAACATTAAATCTGTTCTTTCTACATTTCTCCATTGAAATCTGTTTATAAAAAGCATTAGAATTGAGAAGCAATTATGTTAATTTGAATGTTATGCCATCATACTGTATATATTGGTATTTGTTACTGACTCTCGCTCTAGCATTTTCTAAGGATATTACTTCTTGCCAGTTTTTGTGATATTCGGCCCTAACTGGCTTTTATTTTTTGGGTTAGCACCCAACATGTCTTATTGCTAGAGGTACATTTAATCTTTAACATGAATTATTCTTCATATGAAGAAGGAAACAGACAATTAGACAAAATCCATGTCAACTGCTGATTTTGCCATCTTTTTACTCATTCAGTTTCTTGCAATCAGTGCATAGAGAAATTCCTTTTGACGGACTTCATTTATTTCCCATTTCCCATTCCCTACAAACAGATCACAGATGCCTTTGAACAAATGATCAATAATACACCAGGCTTCTTCTGCTTAATGTTATTCCAAATGATATCTCTTTTTCGGTTTTCACTTGCCCAGTTGTTGTAGATTTCACCAGGCAATACTTTAAAAAGTATAGGATGTGAACTCATAAACTGGTGAACTGTATCATACTATCTTTCTATCTTGCATCACATGTGCATTAACGATATTATGTTTTTTCTTTGTCATGCAATCTGTTTTAGGGTACATCCAATGAATATGACCTGCATCCTTGATGCATTGTTTGATCATAAGAAACACACCAGCAGTGAGAGGTGATTGGCTGTAATTCTGCTGTGTTTCAGTTATTCTCAATGAATGAGTTCTAAATGGAAAATAAGTGTTAAGCCTCCAGCATTCATCCTGTGAATTATTATTCTTCTGAAAACATTGACCTTTCACTTGAGAACAGAAACAGCAAAAGGCCTCATAAGCTCTCTGCCATCCTCACACTTTGCTTTTCTAGACCAAATCAGGCCCAGTGCCAGGTCATACCACTGCCAGTGGCTGATAAAATGAAATACACTCTAAAGCAAGTGCTATGGTGAGGCACCAGGGTGACAGTCCCAAGATGAAAGAACGTCAGTTTCAGATTGTCGTGGTTCAGATGCCGCACACGAATTCAGAGATTACACAGTTCGAACAGTTCAGGGTAAATTAATTGAGGAAGACAATTGACTTGAGATGTACAAAAGGAGTCAAAGCTTTATTTTTTCTGATTTTCCAAATTACTTTTAAAAGAAATGCTACCTATTTATCCAAAAAAGATTAAAACGTTGTTAAAGAGTTTTGACAAATATAAATATTGCTGTAATAAATCTGGAAGTACTGAAACTTGTTTTAAATATTATTATGTGATATTGCTTATGTCTGCAACAACTATGGTTTATTTAACAAAAGAAGCAGTATTTGAACTGAGTAGTATTCACATTAGTCTTTTTTTCTAACAATCTTTGAGAAATGTCGCAAAATATATATACAGTAACTACTGTATATAGTTATGTCTGGTATTACAGTGGGTAGTAAAGAAAAACAGCAAGTAATCTCAGTGACACAAACCACTAAAATCAGCATCAAGCATTTGCAGTTTCACCAGTTAACAGTCACACCACACACATTTGTTCTCTTTTGTTGATGAACAAAGGAGATCACACACACTAGCTACTGAACTTCCAGAACATCAGCGGTTGGTGTGAAGTGGTGTGGACAATGTATAGAACAAACCTGTGCACTTGAATGGTGAAGCATTGAAGCCTGGCAGGTTTTTTGGTTTGAATCCTTAAGGAGTCTGTGGCTTGATAGATTCCACAAATTAGCTTTGCTCTAATTCAGAAGACTTTCTTTTCTTGGTTACTGCATTAGCAAAAAAAAAAGCAGGAAGCTGCAATTCATATGGGGTTGGAAGGGTTTGCATTGCAGGCAGCATTAAAAGTGAGGGGTCTGGAAACTGAGCACTGTCTGTATTGCAATGACAAAATATTCCTTAAACAAGCAAAAGGGATAAAAAATTAACTAATTGCTGTGCAAATTCTTTATTTTTCAATGAACACATCCAGCAAGCTGTCTTTTGTGCTTTTGGGAGTAACATCAATCACAGCATATCCCAGTAATCAAGAAAAAAAAACTGCACTTGGCTTATTTTCCTTATTATGGCTGAGTCTTTGAGAAGTGGAGCTGGTATTGATACAGTACACAAAGCAGTTTTATTGTTTATTGTTAACTTGAGAGTTTCTGGAGCTGTGGTGCACAGAATGGCAGGGGAACATAATGAGGTCTGTGTTTGTCCTTAAGTTATTTTTACATTGGGTTTTCTCAATTGTTGCTTGAATAAAATAACATTATTTATATGAATGCTTATTATTTTCATGAAGGAAACCACCAAACAGTATGCATGTACTGTAGTTCAAATTGTGTATAACATTTAGCAACAAACAGCAAAAAGCTACAAGGTACTCAACACAATTGAGTCAAATAATATTGTCTGGCTGACAGCCAATATGTTTGTTCAGTTTTTATAAAATTAGGATTGCATTGGATCTGAAAATTAAAGTCACTCTAGAAGAATATTGTTTAAAACTCTGAGACAAAAATAATTATCTGTTTACCTTTACAAATACTTTTTTTACAGTAGTACATCACAGAAAAAGCAGAACAATGCACAAAAGACCAGTGAAATAAACGTAAATAAAAAATCACAAAAAGAAACTGTCAAGCTCAATGGACACATTAAGTAAAATTAAATATAAGTATAATGAAACAACAATAAAACTGTAAAAAATGAAATTCAAGAGAATAAGCTTGTCTTTGAGGAGGCTGTCTTTCTGTGCAAAGGTTATTCAGTTTTTGCATTTAGGTCTTTTTAAATAGTTTGTTCTAACAAAAACTGACAAAGCTACAGTTATATAACTTTGATGCAATTGCTGCCCTTCCAGAGTGGTAAGCCCCAAAGGCTAATGGGACCTACTTACGTATGTGTACAGAACACAGTCCAGCTTCACTCAGAATATAATGTGACCTAATTTTGTACACAATATTGTATTTGAATTAGTTGTGTGGGCTTACTATAGCCATACTGTAAAGTGATAAAACAAGCATGTTTGATTGGATTTAACTATTAAGAGCTAATACAGGAGAATACGTTTTTTTTTATTTGCAGAAGAAAAAGTAGTTAAGAATATGAAGATCACAAAAATATAAACAATGCATTTTTAATAAGTATCCCAGTGTTATTGCATGATGAAAATGACATACACTGGTATTTATCTTAAAGGTAAAAAGGCTTTTCTCTAACGAAATTACCATATTTGTATTCATGATAAAAGTTGCATCTCACTAAAGCTGGAAAAAAAATACTACTGGTGTTTACCTTGTTAGGAGTAAGCGTAACTTATTAGTTTTTATAATGAAGGGCTTGTAA